TCAATAAATCCACTGCTCTCTCGTCTCCTCTGAGGCTGGGACTCTAAATAGTGTTTTGTGCTCGTCTGTGCAGACAAAGACAGAACAGTTAGTATGTTTTGCTCAAACTTTCACCATGGTATTAGTGCTGGTACACCGTTGTCGCTTGCGAAAACACAATAACGGCGCTGTGGGTGTAAACTTACAGATTAAGGGGCGGTGATATTATAATGAGATCCCTTTGCCACGTCACCAAGCGAGCGAAATCAGATGCGCTCGTTTTCTCAGACGCTTGCAGAAAAAGGCTTCCCAAAACAAAGTTACTGGGTTAATCTTTTTCACGTTTCCTTGGTTGGTAGATGCACCGGAGACCTGATTATAGCACTTAACACCTGGAAAAGTCCGATTTTCATGATATGTCACCTTTAATATAAAAAATCCTCTCTTCATTTCTCCTCTTCTCCAGTTTGCTTCACAAACCTGGCATTTTGTATTACACATGTTGTTAGCTCTTAGGCGAATTGCTTCGCTTGGATAAAAGCATCTTCTAAATGTATGAATGTAAAATGTTAATAAAGCAGATAAGCATTCGTTCGTTGAGCATCGCTGTCCTCAAAAAGCCTGGTGGGCAGCGTTTGCTGTTTATTCCGCTGTGACAGCACATATTAACCAGACTCTCTGTTTGCTTTAATCATTCAGCAAGGCCTGGTGGTCCAAACCAGCAGCGCTCTTCATTTACTAACCGCGCGCTGTAACCTGATAAACGGGTGTGAATGACAGAGTGGAATACACACTTCTCTGGGTTGTAGACGCTCAGCTCCTCCAGAAACAGGCTGTCGTTCAGGAAGCCGTTCCGCATCTTGGCCAGGAACTTCAGCACGATTCCTCGCTCCGATCCCAGGAAAACCACGGTGTGGTTGCGATGAGGGCCGGCGGCGTTATCCACGGCTATACGCGTCAGACGATATCTTCCAGACAGACAGAATACAGTCTAAACTTCATTCATGAACACTAGGACTATGACCTTTCAAGACGAAGATGAGACGAGACATCATTAAACATGCATTATCTTTGATGAAAAAAGACAAGACTATAATGTAGTTTAAAAAATAAGAAAACTCTCTTTATCCAAAATTTCTCTATTTTTAGGACCTAAATACATAGCAGATATGTTCACTGAATATAAACCTAACAGACCACTCAGATCATTAGGATCGAGTCAGTTAGAAATACCAAGGGTTCACACAAAACAAGGGGAGTCTGCTTTTAGTTATTATGCCGCCCGCAGT